TTCACATAAAAACCGATTCCTCTCTTCCTTTGAATCTTTTTTCGCCCTTTTCTTCAATAAAACCACAAGAAAACATCTTTTGCACGCATATTTCTAAAACCAGATAACACTTTGCATACGTCACCAAATAGGCACTACATGTAAAACTTTAATTGCTGAAGTCTTGTTTTAAAATGAGAAAAGACGAAAAATTATTGTAAATAAGAAAATAATATAGTAATAAGATAATACGGTACTTTATTGTCCCCTCGGGAAAATTTTCGTGGCGTTGCAGGAATGGTTAAAAACACATGAGGAATGCACAATATTTACATTTCATTGCTTTCATTAAAAAGATTTCAATATGGAGAGAAAACAGAAGTTGGGAACAAGATATTTCACATAGACTATCTCAAAGATGTAAATGAAGAATGCTTTTGGACAGGCGCGGTTCGTCCATAGAGCTCGGTTGTGCAGTGTAGCCCAACATTTTTTAGCGTTCTATTACGTAAAACACCCACAATAATAAAATAAAAGAAGCCAGAAACAAACACTAGCCAAATATTATATCAAAACAAGGTCCTCACTGGCGACATAACTGTCATTTCTTTTACTATGGCGCCGTAAAACATGTACTATGCCATGCCAAAGTCCACGCGCTTTAGTTAAACATAATAGGATATTCAACAATGTATCCTGACCTATAAATCGCTCTTGAGGATAACCCAAGCGATGAAGACACTCGTAGCGAGTTTGGCGGTACATTAATATTGATAAGACGGCACATCTCAAATGTGCTCCTGCCGAACAGCGCCGAAACATAGCCCACAGTAGGCAGTCTAAAAATAAACTCGATAGACCGTACGCTATTCTTTGCCAATATTATGTGAGCCCCGGAGCAATCCAGCGGAGTGCTCAAGTGAATTGTGATTGGTTCATTGTCTGCCTTGCCACTATTTTAAGTGAATCTGTGACCGTGAACCTGAGGGAGGTGAACGTGACGGTCCTATGAGTTGCGCCTTTGAATGGTTTTGTAGTGAAGTAGTGAAAGTTATGACTTGAGTGTTCAGTTCTAATACAGGATGAACGAACTTGATGTTTAGCTAACAAATAAATTTAATACTAGAAATCAAAGTGACAAGTAAAAAGAACGAAAATAAAAGCACGAGGTCCTCCCTCACCAACCCAAAGATCCTAAAATCATACACCGTCTCATTTACTATGCCCTTGACTATCTTCAGCATGCGATAGCTTAATTGTGCACGTCCATTTTTTAGCCTCACGAGCCGCCCCTGCTTTTGGAATACATTGAAAAATATCACTTTTAAAAGTTAAACAATAACTTCACAATGATAACAAGCAAACTTAAAAGAAAAAAATATCTTATCATATTGCCATGTACTACTAAATCTGAGAAAATGTCACAAATTGTTTCCCCCATACAGTTAAAGCTATTTGGAATGATAGAACAGAATATGCATTTTAAAAAGCCATGAGTATGACATCTTCAAAACAATGCAGATTGGTTTGAGTTGAATCAGAACAAATGAAGCGTAAAAATTTATACAACAAAAAATGAGTGCTGTCTTTTAAGAACTGGCCGATGTGATGTATGGATGGCAGGCCAATCCGCCTTAAATCTTTAAGGGAATGTGCTACTGAAACTGGGAACTTTTTAAAAGTAGGAATATGCACACAGTTTGCTGTTATAACTGTCTTCAGTGCAATTGCGGCTAATGGTGAGTGTATTGAGAATCTGAAGAGATAGACATTTCAGTAAAATCTTTAAAGGCGTAGCGGACACATGCTATGTCCTATCAGCAGCAGACCAAAGGCAGTGTAGAGGCACATTCCGAACCATTGTACAAAAACCAGACACAAATTTGCATATTTCATAGTTGCCTGCCTTGTTAAGTTTCAGATTAAGAAAACAGAATTATAAAATACATGTATATACTGGACGCCATTAAAAACACAACACTTCGTCCGCAGAGTCTTAACACATTTGTATCAAATGAATATAGATTAAAAGAATTTACAAAAAAAAGTTTATTCAATTTCCAACAAGTATGAACCATTTTGATCACACACTTAAACTGGTTTCGATACATTGTCCTACTTCTCCCGGACTGCGCCCTTAAGACAAATTTGCAAATAAACACAAATCGAAGCTCAATAATAGATCTCTCACCCATAGTAAATTGCCTGGCCATCATTAATATTTATATAGACCAAAACACTTCTTCGCATGAACTTTAGTAACATTTTCAATGTGCTCTTGAGAAATTCTGTCCCACTTTCGTTGCAGCGAGATCTCCCACTCCCAATAGCTGCAGATTCGCAAAACAGCACACATTTGCGGTTCAGTTCATTTCATACGTGCGCTGTAGGAGATATTTCGGGTACGTACACTCATGTACCATTCATGTTATGATCTTCAAGAAACAGATGCCGTTTGTTAAATGGGCAGTGTGAGGGCAGCAGTGTCGTGTAGGATGACTGAGAGATTCTGATTTTTTCCTTCGTGCTGTTTGGCACTGTGAAGACGGCGCTGTTGTCGTGGCTTCGTTGATGTAGTCCTAAATAAGACGTTCTTGATCTAAGTTATGTACTTACTGCTCCACGCCTCACACTGATGAAAAAAAACATTTTCATGCACTCCCTGCATGCTTTGAGCTGTTGCTTTTGAGAAACGAAATGATTTCGCAGATGCGACAGCAAAATCTGCCTTTCTGGAACAGGGCTGGTCATTCGAGACTGTCCTATTCTTTGCCCATGCCGGATGTTACAAGTGTGCTAAAATCTTTGCATAAGTCGAGAACAATACAAGCAATGCATTTTAGCAGAATTGCAGCATCTCAGGCAGATGTTCCGCTATGAACAAGGCAGAAGTGAAAGTTGCGACCAGCTTCGCTAAGTTGAGGAGTCTTGTAATGAAAGAAATAACAAAGATATATCGAAAAAAACCCTACGATTTTTGTTTGGAAAGAGCTAGATCTACGGGTCATCTTCCAGGTAAATAATTTTGTATTCTTGAATAATATAGCAACTAATGAACACATTTTACTAAACCATAGTTTTCTGTATTGTGATGAAAAGTACTCATGGAAATAGCAAAAATCGTACACGGGTGTGTGGCTTATTTGTGACATTTGTGTCTTCAAAAATGGTGACCATCAGAGGATATTTGGCTTTTTAAAATAGCTTTGTGAAAACTTTGCGCTTTTGATGGCGTTCAGTATAGATCTATATTAATTTTTCATACATAGCACAGTTATGCTTCTTGTTCAAGTGCGCCAAAATAGCTCTTCTTCAAGCGTTGTGGCAGAATGCGCGTCCTCAATGGGAAAGACGATCTCATTGTGTTCATTTAAGTGCAAAACATTTACAATTATGTGAGAAGAAAGCCAAACAGCTGAGATCGAAATAAAATAAAGTTGTTAAGATATCTACACGCTCTCTCTCTCTCTCTCTCTCTCTCTCTCTCTCTCTCTCT